AATTAATTAATTCATTTGTAAATTAGCTGATCGGCTGAGCCCCACATACGCGAATCACCACTGTACCATCCCGTGAGATATGGCCCCGCAGCGATTCACGTATATACAGTCCAACCGATCAGCAATCATTCTTAAAATGCTATTGGGGCTACTCCGCACCCTGCACACCAAAGACGCGTATCTCTTTCGCATAGTCGTAAAGAAACAATTCACTTTATCGTCTGCGAACATCCCTGATGCGCTGCAGTAACGAGGCAGCCCCACCAGCGCCCGGAACGCGTTGTTGTATTGAACCCTAAGAGCGTTGTACGACTTTTGCATATATTTGGCCCACAAGCTTCACGTGTAAAAGTTGGTGCAATAGGCTTGAAAGAGAGTGATTTTCACGTTCATTGAGCACAGCGCAAACTTGCGAACCAATATATTCGCCCTTATCGACAACATCCTCCTCTCGCGTTCAATATCAGAGTCGTCACTGAGACTAGGATTTAGGACATAATGCTCGTCTTATATTTCAAACGAATTTTAATGACTTCAGTAATAGCAAAGATACGAGCTATGAAATGTTTATGATTTCAGTACTTGATAACTGAGAACAGATAAAACATGCTCATTTTAATTAGTTCAAGATGACAGTAGAAACGTTTCCTTTATATTATATACATTATACTGAGACATGTTACTCATGTTTAGGGTCCCTCTTCTGTAAACCATACCAATTAAAGTCTTTATGGTTTTCATTTTGGGACAAAATAAAGTTGTCTCTGGAGGTTTTAATTCGATTATCCCCGAAACTAAAGAGACGCCTTTCCTAGCACCTTTCAGTAGAGCGTTGCTTGTATTCATTTAAATTTATTAGTTAAATTGTGATTCAAAAAGCATTATTTTTGTTACAAACAGTTTATTTAACTGCATCAAACGGACGAATAGTCAATAATCTCTCAATAAAATTGTAATAAATTTTAGTTTTAATGCGAATAATTGGATTCAGTATAAAAAGCTTGGGGTGCATTTTACACCACTTTCATAACATTTTTTATCGATCAACAGATATAAAAATATTTCAAGCATTGTAGGTCAAAAATTAACTCGAAACAATAACAACTTCTTCTCAAACGATTACAATGAAGTTAGTACAACTATCTAAACTATAAAAAAATAAAATTTGGTATTAAAATCAATAGACAACCCCTTGTTTTAACTTTTGATTGATTGATAATTAAATATTATTCATTAATTATTATTTATTGCTGTTAATGGTCCCAGTTCCATGAATCTGAATTCCACAGTCAATATCAGTGTTAAATAGGGGGCATCCAATATATTTTCATCTTTTAATTATGAAAAAAAAAACATTGTAACTTTGATATCTGCTAATGTCTTACATATAGGACATTAAACGCCTTATCTTGACTCAATACTCTGTATACCCTTAGGATACCTAAGCAGAGAACACTTAGGATACCTAAGCAGGGGATATAGAGAAAACATGTGATGTGAAACATGCAAGATATTCTTCTATTTCAAAAAATAAAAGGACGATTTGTATTTAATTGGGTTTTAATTGCAAAAAAAAATACAAATAAGATAATAATTCCGTCAATTAAATACGACTAAACTTACTCCTGCTCGGAGTATGTCGACACATTTGTTCTTTTATTCAATTTTGCAAAAAGAATCAACTCCCATCGTGTCAGTTGATGCATTTTTACATTTTTAACAATCGAAAAGATGTCGTTACATGTTACTTTTGTAATTAAAACCACATATAAAACAGGTAGATTTATTTAAATTATACGTTTTATCTGATGTACGCAGGCGGTCAGGAGGTTAGAAAAAATCTATTCTTTTATTTTACTTACGGACATCTAAAACTTTCGCGAGTATTTATTATAATGAAACTAATATTATTCGGATTAGTACGCGTATTTCATTATTTTATACTACATACTCCTGACGTTTCGATTAGTTTTAGCAACCGTAATCACAGGCAGACGAGATGTGAATGAATTTATTTTACTGTTTTTTTTTCGCCCTGTAATTGTTGGTTGCACTAGACACACTGAGAACATAGTTATACATAGCTATATAAGATACTTAATAAGATAATGAAATTTTGATCGACAATTTATTATAATGGCACAATTATTATATCTTTAATTTATCACTATATATATCACTATAAATAAGACGAGAGAAGAGACAGAAGATCAAGGAAGCAAACGGCTTTGATGGAACATAGTACATACAATGACAGAAGTGAACTGAATTACGGATCCAACAGGTGGCTGCCGATACGAAATGAACATAGAAATATATAACTTATGTGGTATTGTTAAAGTTCAGTTTAGCTTGAACATGAACAGTACGTAAAGATGATTCAGATACAGTTTGTGAAAGTAATTAGAAGCGCTGAGCTTCACGAGCCACGTCCCACGTAATTAATAGTTGAGGAAAGTTTTATATCTTTGTTGTACTTAGATGTATATATATGTTAACGATTGAGATGAAATTGTTTTACTGTTTCTATACAAGGGATACTCAATATGTGGTACTAATAATGAGTTTATAAGATGGACCGCCGTGGTTAGTGCGGAGGTTTAATGTTACAGGTTTAATAGAGGTTACAGTTTATTGGTTTAATAGTAATGATATTACAAATACAATTAAAAAGTTACTGACGGGTTGTGTAACTGTAGAGTCTTGTTATTAAAGCTTTTAATTTGTTGGATAAGCTTTAATAATGGTTAGATTTTGACTTTATTTTGAATCCTTCTGTCATTGCTAAAATCATTTAATATCTATTCACCCCTATGGAATGTTGTTTCTCCACTTCTTCTCCACTCCGACAAAGTTTAATTACGAGGAGAACAATAATGTGAATGATTGTTACATGTTTACGATGTCTCTTTTGTACTTCAAAGTTTGAAAGTATTTATTAAGAACTCTGAAGAAGATCTAACTCATGGTCATTTGGTCGTCGCAGTTTAGTTGAATAATAATTCGAGAATTCTTTATAAATATAGACAGTGTTTAAAATATGTCTCGATTTAATATGAAGTGTACAATAATTGGGTTACTGTTTATGACCCTTACTTCATTTTTCTTTCGTCTAGAGAAGCATTTGTTTGAATGAAAACTAATCAAATAATTTCTAATGTAACTTAATAAAAAGATCGTTATTTTTAATGTCTCTTCATTTTACACGAGTGTTGTGTGTATATGACAATACTATAGCTGGCTTAATTTACTCCCGGCAACTAATTAAATACAAATTGACACCCAAACAGTTTGCCAGTTTATGTCTATATTAGATTATAACTTTATAAGATATTCAAACATAAACATTCAAACTTTCACACCTACAATACTAATATAGTACATATTATAAATATATAATATTTTTGATCTATATTTATATCTTTCTATACATATATATGTCGTGTTTTAAAGTTTCATTGATGTTCGTCATAAACATTGGGAGAACATTTATATAAAGCGATAAAATACTTTCATTGAAAACATTTATTTACTTCAATACATGTTCAAATAAAACGGATTATAAATAGCAGACCTGTTAAACAATACCTCCTTGTACGTAGTTATAGATAATAACTTGTATTTAAAACACATTCACAAACTGAAACTTTAATTAATATTTCTAACAATCGCAGTTTTAGTTTAAAATATTGTAGCAAAGTATTTAGTTTTTTTTTCAATACGTTCCCTTTTCTTGCTGCCAAGTCTTATGTTTTAGATATTTTTTCACTTTGCTTTCAATTGCAAATGAAACTTCTTTTTGTCATTACCATATAAAAGACTCGATATGTTTGAACGTTTCAAATTACTAACAATGAAAATTTGCGAAATAACTTAATCTTTATATTATAGATTGGGACGTACGTGTATAGAATGAATTAAATAGCACATGTGAAAGTTTATTGTAAAATTTAAATATAAAAGATATGACGACAAATTTTAATACAGGTTTTGAAATAAAAGAAGGTAGGAGGGAAAACAGGTAAGTATAATACCTGGTAAATGGTACAGTTGTAATGTGCAGATCTTGTAATACATAAACTGTGCTCGCTGGACTAATGACGGTCCCATGTTCTGTAACGAGTTGGAGATGGAAATGTTCGACAGAGAGAGAGAGAGAGAGAGAGAGAGAGCGAGAGAGAGAGAGAGAGAGAGAGAGAGGAGAGAGAGAGAGAGAGAGAGAGAGAGAGAGAGAGAGAGAGAGAGAGAGAGAGAGCGAGAGAGAGAGAGAGAGAGAGAGAGAGAGAGAGAGAGCGAGAGAGAGAGAGAGAGAGAGAGAGAGAGAGAGAGAGAGAGAGAGAGAGAGAGAGAGAGAGAGAGAGAGAGAGAGAGAGAGAGAGAGAGAGAGAGAGAGAGAGAGAGAGAGAGAGAGAGAGAGAGAGAGAGAGAGAGAGAGAGAGAGAGAGAGAGAGAGAGAGAGAGAGCGAGAGAGAGAGAGAGAGAGAGAGCGAGAGAGAGAGAGAGAGAGAGAGAGAGAGAGAGAGAGAGAGAGAGAGAGAGAGAGAGAGAGAGAGAGAGAGAGAGAGAGCGAGAGCGAGAGAGAGAGCGAGAGCGAGAGCGAGAGCGAGAGCGAGAGCGAGAGCGAGAGAGAGAGAGCGAGAGCGAGAGAGAGCGAGAGAGAGAGCGAGAGCGAGAGGAGGAGAGAGAGCGAGAGAGAGAGGAGAGAGGAGCGAGAGCGAGAGCGAGAGAGAGAGAGAGCGGGAGAGAGAGCGAGAGAGGAGCGGGAGCGAGGAGAGGGAGAGAGCGGGAGAGGGAGAGAGAGAGAGCGGGAGGGAGGAGAGGAGAGAGAGGGGAGCGGGAGCGGGAGAGGAGAGAGAGGGAGAGAGAGGGAGGGAGAGAGAGAGAGAGGGAGAGAGAGAGAGAGGGAGAGAGAGAGAGAGGGAGGAGAGAGAGAGAGAGGGAGAGAGAGAGAGAGAGTCGTAAGTCAGGGTATTATAATAATAATAATAATAATAATAAAA